CAGTTCAGCATAGCAGAGCCCTCCCAACATGGATATCAACCCACAGCAAGTCCAAATAACAAAGCTTGCCCTAGGGCTGCCGATAGCAGCCGGCACGTACTGGGGGGGAGATGAAAATCCCAGAACCTATCATGGTAACACTTTACGCACTACGCACAACGTTATAAATGAGGCCCCAGGTCTTTTTAGCTCCTCAGAGATATAGTTCAAGTTGTATCAGCAGTACCACAGTGCTGGAATATGCTGTTACAAGTAAAAGTCCTGCATTCAAAATGTAACTCAAGTATGATTAATATGAGATGATGTATGTGGTAAGGGATAGGTGTTCTTGACCAATGTGAATTTATCGTTTTGTATGATAAGTATTGATTGCCCAACAAAATTAATAAACAATGGGGAAACAAAAAAGAAACGAAGTTGAAAGTAAATCTACAATGTGAAGATTGTATCATAGTTAATTGCACATGTATATAATGTCAAATTAACATTTGCATTTCATCAAGTCTTACTTCTGGATGTTTCAGTTCCTCAGTTATAAAATTCAAAGTGTTCCACCCATCAAAGGACCACAAGCCCTGATAGAAAGCAATGCCAATGGAGCTGACATCGGCATTTGTGTTCTCAAAGGGCTCTTCAAAGTTCTCAGTGTGTCCCTGGAAAAGCATCACAATGCCTCCCAATATGATCACGACCAGTGCGACTAGTTTGAATACCATGGAAACCACCTGGATGCCGGTGGCCATGCGTACGCTCACACAGTTGACTATGGTCAGGCCCAAGATAGCTGCTGCAGCCACGCATTTCACCACCAACTGTGGAGGGGTGCTGCCACTGTAGAAGGGGGCAAAAACATATTCAGCAAAGCTCAGAGCAATTCCTGTGGCACTGGCAGGCCTCATGACCATGATGAAGCTGAAGGAAAACATAAAAGCCATCACTTTCCCTGTCGTCCGCAGCATGTAGATAAACTCTCCTCCAGACTCTAGTATGACTGTTCCCAGTTCAGCATAGCAGAGCCCTCCCAACATGGATATCAACCCACAGCAAGTCCAGATTACAAAGCTTGCCCCAGGGCTGCCGATAGCAGCCAGCACGTACTGGGGGGAGATGAAAATCCCAGAACCTATCATGGTTCCAGCAATAAATGATACACCTGCTATGAGCCCAACTTCCCTCTTCAGATTGAGCTTCTGTGTGTTACCTTCCATTGTTAGAGAGCTGCTGTCTTCTCAAACGCATTTGCAGTGGACACTGGACATGCACTAAACTGGCTGTAGATGAACTGCGAAATGTTGGGCAATTATAGAGCCGTGTCACAACTATCAGCCACTAAACCGAGGAGTGGCGACTAAACTGAGACTTTGCTCATTACATCCAGTTGTTATCCCTTCATAGACAATTATGTTTTAACTTTTTACTGCAATCATTTTAAAGAATTATGTGTTTGAGTGTTAACCAGTGGTAGTTAGATGTTTGGTAGTCAGGGTAAATAAGTAGTCTGAGATTGTCTGCAAAACTGAGGGACATCTCAAAAAGAATAGTTGTGCTGAGGTTATTTCTCTGACAGTAAATTGTAATTTTTTATTCTTTCTATGAAACTTCTATAAAAATGTGGGGAAAAATCCTGTTAGACTCCCATTTAAAAAATGTTTAAAATTATATTAATAATAACATTTCAGAATTTGTTTTTTAGCTTAATTAAAGATGTACAACAATGATTTTCTCTTTCAATGAAACAAGGTATGTCAAGCAAAACAGAGATTTATTAAATAAGATTTTAGGCCCTTTAATACAATATGATTGAATCCACCTTCTTTGTAATGGCCTGCGTGTAGGCCTTTTCTGCCACCTAGTTGACTGGAAATAGTCTTATATTTCATGCAACTGGTCACTTAGTTCAGCTGATTAATTGAGATAACTTTAATGACTTTGTACTGCCAGGTATCGCTGTCCATAAAAGTGCATAATATTTCATTAGTCAATTACATTTTTTTATTAATAATATTAACCTGCAAAAGTAGCAATGAACTAATCTTGCCAAACAATGACAGAGGTTTCTATCCAGTTTCAAGAATTAAAAAAAACATAATCAGAGGGCTTTTGGTCTCAAGAAACCACAGCGAAAATAAATACCAGGTGTACAACTTGATTGTGTCAATTAGGCTGATGATGTCACAGACCTCCACAGCTCACAGGATGGTGCAGCATAAATCAACACACTGTGACGGCCTCTGACCTCCTCACTCTAACTGACACCATCAGCTTGTAAGCCTGGTCTTTTTGTGGTTCCCTGACTCCACTAGGCTAAGGTGTGGTTGTTTTCTAAGTAACGCTGAAAGATTCAGACTGTACTTTGTCATCTTTTTAGAGTAACCTTGCTCTAGTGTGGGACTGTGTATGAAACATGCTATTCAAACCAACTCAATTGCCTCCCCTCTATGGGTAGGAGCAATGGTCTAACTCTGAGCTCCTTCTGGATTCCAAGTTCGTCACACTACCACTAAAGTGAGCCCGTCTCTGTAATTCATTATTTTAGTCATAACCGAGCACCCCGGGCCCTCCTCCACCATAACTATTTAGTGTAAAGCCTCTTAAGGCCCAGACACACCGGGCCGATTTCGGCCGTCGATAGATGTCTAGCCGTCGATGAGCGTCGTGTCGCCCTACTCAGATTGGTGTGTCCCGCACAGTTGTGTCTTTTCGGCCGTGCCGACACCTTTTTGGCCGAAAACCTACCGATACGGCAGGCAATCGGTCAAATAAATCACTCTGATTGGCTGTTCAGCTAGCGAATCAGTGCATGAGAAGCGAAACGGAAGTGAGGGACCCAAACAAACGATTAAGAAGGCACACACAGATGGCTATTCTTTTTCATTTTCATCG